CTTTTCTCAGACTACAAAAACAGTGGATAATATATGAAATACCTGACTAAAACCACACGTTAGAAGAGAAAACATGGTCCACACAAAAACACGTGAATATTTACCACAGCATTATTCATATGGCCCAAAGTGAAAACAGCTCAATGTTCATCAACCGACAAATGAAAGTATATTCATACAACAAAATGTTTGACAAGAATTAAAGAATGAAGTATTGATAAATGATAAATGCTACAACATGGATGAATCTTGAAAGCATGATATTAAATGAAAAAGGCCAACACAAAAGACCACTAGTTAGGTGATTCCATTTATATGAAATATCCAGAATAGGCAAGTTCATAGAGACAGAGAGTAGGTCAGTGGCTGCCTAGGGCTGGAGGTGGTTGAGGGGAAATGGATACTGACTTCTGATAGATATGGGCTTTCTTTTTGGAATGATAAAAATATTATTTTTTATTTTTTATTTTTAAGAAAGCAGAATTTATTGACAGTACAGGAAAGTTCCCACAGTGGGAGGGGACCTGAGGGGATTGCCTAATAAAAATATTCTTATTCACTATAGCCACAATATGAAATCAACCTAAGCATCCATCAACAGATGATTGAATAAATGAAGTCTGGTCCCATATATACAACAGAATAATATTCAGCTATAAAAAAGAATACCATCCTTCCGTTTGCAGCAATATGGATAGAACAGGAGGTCATTATGTTACAAGAAATAAGCAAGTGACAGAAAGATAAATATCTTGTGTCCTCACTCACATGTGGGAGCCAAAAGTATAGGTCTCTTGAAATAAAGAGTAGATTGGAAACTGGCTCATGCCTGTAATCCCAGAGCTTTGGAAGACTGAGGTGGGAGGAGTGCTTGAGCCCAGGAGTCTGAGTCGAGACTGGGGAACCTAACAAGACCTTCTCTACAAAAGTGAAAAAATTAACCAGGTGTGGTGGTGTGCACCTGCAGTCCCAACTACTTGGGGGGGCTGAGGTCAAAGGTGTCCCTGAGTCCAGGAGGTTGAGGTTGTAGTGAACTGTGATTGTGTCACTGAACTCCAGCCTGGGTGACAGAGTGAGACCCCGATTAAAGAAAAAAGTAAAGAGAGTAGATTTGTGGTTACCAGAGGATGGGAAGGACAGGGGGTCAGAGGGTAGGGGGGATGAAGAGAAGTTGATTAATGGGTACAAATATACAGTTTGACAGAAGCAATAAAACCTAGTGTTAGATGAATCAGTAGGGTGATTATAATAATTACAATAATCTGTTGTACACTTTGAAATAGCTAGAAGAGAAAAATTTGAATGGTTCTAGCATAAGGAAAAGACACATATTTAAGGTGATAGATATCCCAAGTACACTGATTTGATCTTTACAAAACATATGAATTTATTAAATTACTGCCTATATTCCAAAACTATGTATATCCATTATTCATCAATAAAAAGGGTTCTAAAATAAACTGTGGTAATGGTTACACAAATCTATAAATATGCTAAAAACAATTGAATGCTATACCTTAAATGGGTTAATTTTAAAGTATGTGGATTATATCTCAATAAAGCTTTTATACTCTGAGAAGTAGTGGAAAGAGAGAGAAGAGAAGAGGAGAAGAGAAGAGAAGAGAGGAAAACAATCTTGAAGATGGTGGGGGAAAAGCAGCGAATAATTCATTCACAAGATATAAGAATCAGTAAAATGTATGTGCAGACTCAACTAACACGAGCAGGTGAAAAAAATACAACAGGCATATAGCAAGTGTGAAGAGATATTATAGGAAAAACAGAGAAAATATCATGCAGAAAAAGAACAAAATAGTCTCATTTAATAGTAACTCAGGTAATTCCTCACTATTTGTTCATGTTATGGAGAGCCTAATGAGAAAATTAATTTAATAAGAGAGAAAAAAGACAAAATTATAAAAAAACCCACAATGAGATCACAAGCGATACTGTAGGCCTAAGGTAACAAACCAAGGCTCAAAGCATTGTCTTTACAAAGCTAATTAAACAATTTTAAACAGTAAGGAATGAAATAGACATTACTGACTGTTGAATTCCAAGTCTATAATCTCTCCCTAATCTGAAATTTCAAAATCCAAAAAATAATGAAAACTGAGGTTTTTTCCCCCCTTGGTTAACCCACTTAGCAGCTTAATGTGTCCTGAACAGATGAGGTTATTTACAACCTTTGTTTATCCAACTAAATTTGAATATCTATATTTATAGCTTTCTTTGAAAAAAATAATGTTTTTGGATACTGGGTGCTCCCCAGACTCTACTGGTAGTATCATGCAATGTATGGAATATGCATTTATTATTTTCTAAAATAGAAAATTATTTTGAATTTCAAAACATATATGGCTCCAAGGATTTCAGAAAGATATTGTGGGCCAGTAATAATATAGGGGAGATGATATGTAAATAAAAAAGACAAAGATATTAAAATAACTTGAAAAAACTAACACAATGGAAAAACGAAAAAGATCCAGTATAAGAAAATTGATGTTTCTGAGATGAGAGAAAAAAGAACTAGAAGTATATTTAAAGACCTAATACACAAGATACTTTCTAAAGGGAAACAAAAGTTGTTCAAAAAACACAGTGTAATACAAAAAAATTCATGTGGAATATTCAATAGCAAAGCGTTATGAACTGCAAAGATAAAGAAATAATTATTTAGGCATCCAGGCAACAAAAGTGACTTACCTACAAAGAGGAGAAGATGAAGCTGGCCTCTTCACCACAGCAATATTCAATGACAGAAGACTAAAGTAATATCTTCAAAGTTCTGAGGAGAAGGAAATATAGTTCAAGAATGTTATTAAGAAAAACAGTATGAATTAAATCAGGGAATATGACACTCATGAGCCCTTCTTAAAACATATTGCTTGACAATCAAAGAAATTAGTAGCTTAGGTTCAATAAAAATTCAAGAATAGAGAAGATATGTTAAAAGAAATGGTGGTGAGCAGTGAGCCCATTTAAAGTTATCTCTGTCTTTCTCTCTCTTTTTGTAGTAGAGGTCTCACTCTGATGCCCAGACTAGAGTGTAGTGGCATAATCACAGCTCACTGTAGCCTTGGCTTCTTGGGCTCAGGTGATCTTCCAGTTCCAGCCTCCCAAGTTGCTGGGACTATAGGTACGCACCACCACGCCTAGCTAATTTTTTTGACTTTTGATAGAGAAGAGTCTTTACTAGGTTCCCCAGACTGGTCTTGAACCTCTAGGCTCAAGCAATCCTCTTGCCTCACCCTCCCAGAGTGCTGGGAGTAAAGGCACACACCACCACGCCTAACTAAAATTATCTCTTTATTTACTTATCAACCTGAACAAAGGCTACACTTAATCCACATTTCTTTCTTCCTCCTGAACAATATATGAACCTTAAAATGTCTTCATCTGTGTCATCTCCCCATTTTTCATATTATTGTTCACTGTTATAGTTTCACTTTTAAAAAACATTCCCTCTGAAATAATCATTCATTTTCTTTTGCAGTCAATACTTAGAGATTTTAACAAAACGTCTTTCAAATTTTTTTTTTTTGCTCATTTCTGCTTATTACACCCCATGTATTGACTTTCTGCCTTCTTTAAATACACTGTTTTATAGTTACTTCAGTGAGGTTGGAAAATATCAGTTTTCTTTTGTTTGGAAATATCTGTAGTTTGTCTCCACTTCTGAATAATAATTTCACTGAGGACAAAATTCTCAGTTGATAGTTATATTCCCTCAGCACTCTGAAGACATTATTTCATTATCATCTGGTCTCTATGGATGCTTTTGAGAAGGCAGCTAGCTGTCAGACGTACTGTTGTTCATTTGCAGGTAATTTACCTTTTCCTCTCTGGTTGCTTCAAGGTCTTCTATTTTGTGGTGATACTTGTGGATGTAAAATTTCTCTTCTTTCCCTTTGCTTCCCTTTCCTTCCTTTCTGTTCTTCTCTTTCTCTTCTCTCTTCTTTCTTTCTTTTATTTTTCACATTTCTTGACAGTTCTCTTTCTTATACAAGTGTGTTCTTTTAGATGAACTTTGTAATATCTACCCTTTCAAATATTTAAAGAGAATTTGAAATTCAATTGGAGTTTCATTTAGCTTTTTAATTAATTTGGCACAAATAGATATCTTTAGTATGCTTAATATTTCTATTTAGAAACATGCTATTTCTGTCCATTTAAAAATGTCTTCCTAAAAATGTCTGCTCATTTACCAAATCATGGTGCATAATTCTTGTTATATGAATTTAAAGGTTTGCTACATCTGTGGTCCTATTTTGAATACATTATTTTATTATTTTTTAAAATCCACATTTACTATTTCTGCATTTAAAAAAAAATTTACTGATTTTTTTTGTATTTTTTTCCTATCTGGATAGGGTAGATTCTACATGGTATGTAGAAAAGTAGCATAAAGGTCAAAACACACACAGAGAAGCAAACAACATCCCCAGAGATTAAAAAACGTGGCAGAATTAGTGTTTACAGAGAGGTATATTTTAACTTATTAGACAAAGCTAGATGACCAAAAGTACATTTTATTTTCAAATAAGCAGGGGAAGAAAGTAATAATTGAATACGACCAAGAGAAAACAGTTTAATATATTTAAGTTTCCTGCAAAAGTAAAGATTAGATTTAATTGCTGAAATTTCTAGTTGCAAAGCATGAGTCAAACTTAAATGGGGAAATAATTACACAGAAGGACTGGGTCTATTAAAATTAGTCAAGTTTGAATTATATGCATCAAGTTACTGAGAAATTCCAGTGCAGAGTTAGAAATCATTTTTTGAGACATTATGGAATATTCTTCACTTATAGAATCATCATCAATATCAGAAAAACCATAGAATCAAAATAAAGAGCTGAGCATAAAGTAAAAGAAATGATTAATTTAGAAATACTTTGAAGAGCTTAAGAGGCTGCCTGACTTTGTCAAAACACATTATGTCAGACCAATTTAATTCTCCTCTATGGCAGAATGACAGTCCACAAAGATAAGAAGCATTTGAAAACATAATATAGTTTAATTTCAGTAAATGTTTTTGTTCTGTTGTATATGGCATGTTATTTATAAACTAAGAAAGTATGGCGTGGTGTACTGTTCTCAAGTGGCAAGTTATCATTCAGTGGTTCTTAGCTGGGTGCTTGTATTAACAGGCAGTCACAGAAATTCCTGGAGGAGTTCTTTGGAGTCAATAACTTGATTGAGAACCTAAACAAAAGATTTGAGATATCATGAATTAAATCTATAGCTACTACTAAGTAATTACTAGAGATGTATCTGGAGCCAAGCTTCAAAATACTCTTGAAATATTAGAGAGAAAAGGCTCTAAAAAATTTAAACTAATACTAGTAGAGAAAGATGACAGGATGTGAGGAATACTTTGGAAACATCTTGAGGGTAAAACAGCTGCGTGGGATGGAAAGATAACTTCAATGGGAATTTAAAAAAAAGTTCCAGTAATTTTGTGTGGCGGAAGTTAGGTTGGAGTTATACATGTATGGCATATACATTCCAAAAAAGTCATTCTTCCCAGTGCTAATCATGGTTTTATTCAAACATTATGTCTCATTTTAGTCAATACATTTTAAAAGGATGTGAAGAAATGGAAATGAAGTTGAAAAAGAGCAACAAAAATGATCGAAGGGCTTAAATATATATCCTAGGCCAAGAGGTTAAGAATTTAGTATTGTTTGAACTATAAAAGGGATAGAGAAGGAATGATTTCACTATCATTTTCAAGTATATAGGGATTTTTGTAAAAGATAACCTCCACTGGTGATTTCTTTGGTTTATGGAAGATGAGCAAAAGCACAAAGGAGCTTAAGTTTAAAGCAGAAAAGATCAGGTGTCGAGATGAGGCAGGTGTTTCTGCCATCAGGGTAATGAAAATTTGAAATGACTTCTAAAAGAGGCTTCAAGCCCAGCAGCAATATGAGTCTCCATGTTGAGTGTAACGTCAGGCATGAAAACGAGTCTGGGAAGCTATGTCCCACAGGCCAAATCTGGCACCCACCACCTGTTTTTGGATGGTCCCAGGAGCTAAAAATGATTTTTACATTTTTAAATTGTTGAAAAGATTAGAAAAAAATTCATGACATAAGAAAATTATAAGAAATTTGACCCAGTGTCCATAAATAAAAATTTACTGGACTGGATGCACTGGCTCACGCCTGTAAACCCAGCACTTTGGAAGGTTGAGGTGGGAAGATTTGTTTGAGCTCAGGAGCTTGAGACCAGCCTAGGCAGCATAGCGAGAACTTGTCTCTACAAAAAAATTAATAATAATAATAAAAAATTAGCTAGGCATGGTGGTGTGAGCCGGTAGCCCTAGCTACTCAGGAAGCTGAGAGAGAAGGACCACCTGAGCCCAGGAGGTCAGGGCTGTGGTGAGCTATGATTGCACCACTGCACTGTGGACTGGGTGACAGACTAAGACCCCAACTCAAAAAAAAAGGAAAAATTATTGGAACACAACCATGCCCATTCATTGATATTATTTTATGTGGTGACGTACATTACAATGGCGTTAGTTGTTGCGATTGAGACTATATGGTCCACAAAGCCTAAAATGATGACTATTTGGCTTCTTAGGCCAAAAGTTTCCCAACCCCTGACTTGTATGGTGGCACCCTCTTACCCAATGCATGGAATTTACCTTCCAAGTCTAGAAGCTCTCCTTGTTGTAATAGAAATGCACACCCCTGGGGTCTGCTGATGAATACAAGCGGCACATCCTCCGAAGTGTCTTTGAGAGAGCTTTGGGTCCACAGAAGAACACGCCAATGCTGCTGCTGCAGTAGGGGTAAGAAAAAGAGTCACCTGTGGACAAGGGCAGCCAGAATCCAAGACAGTTATAACATTAGTGGCTGTGAGACTGTTTATTTGTTCATTTTTCTCCATCCACTTCCTTTTTTCTGAGATTCCTTTTTCTTACTTTCAACACTGTGGTTCCCAGAGTCCCTCCTGCTGTGTACTGAAACACACAGGTGGGTGGAGCCAAGAAGATTGAGGCTGGAAAGGGCCGTGGTGCTGTTAAGGGGGTTTGGACTATAGAGGTAGTGTCGCCTGGACTTTTGGCCAGGTGACTTTGATTTGGGTCCTCTTGGATCTGTGGGTGGAACATAAACTTCTTGAGAGCAGGATACTGGTCTGTCCCAGCACTCAGAACAGTGCTTGGCATACAGTGGACAATCAATACACATTTGTTGAATGAATGGATAAATGACTGTGCTGATTATTACCTGTGGTCTTGAACAAGTTACTAGACCTCAGTTGCTGCACATGTGAAACAAAGATGTATAACATGTATATATGTTGTATGTTTTATCAAAAGCAAGATGAGATAATGCATTCAAGAAGGACTTTTGTTTTGTTTTGTTTCTTTTATTTTTTATTTTCTTTTGAGTTGGAGTCTCACTCTGTCGCCCAGACTGGAGTGCAGTGGCCGCTCCC